TCTCGTGCAGCGGACCAGTGGGGTGCGCGGGACGGTCAGTGGGCGCCGGTCCTCTGGAAGTGACCGAGTCAGCGCCTGCGACAAAACAAGAACACCGTTACAAAGCCTGAGAGTGGCGATTTTTTATGACCCCCCCCCCCTTTTTCTCCGACACAAGCATGCACGTGCAAGTAGAGATGCATCAGCTTCGAGTTGGGCTGCACAAGCAGCGCCTGCAACAGGAGAAGGCAGGTATAAATGAAAGGTCGACAGAATGCATTTTATCCAAGGAGCGTGGTGCCGTAAATAGATGTCACTATTAGGCATGTGGCTACGGACATCTACAACATCGCTACCTTTAAAACCCAAGTGAAATGAAAACAAATTGATAATTCTGTACTGTTATTATTGATAACAAACTGACATTTTAATATACGCCAAAATTACATAATTTACACAAAATACCAACAGAAACTGTCAAGAACAAAGTCTCGATTAACAAGCAAAATAAAAATCAATACCGAAAATAGCTTGTTCTTGATAATTCTTGTGCGTAGCATCTTGTCGTGATCAATCATGCAAAAGACCTTAATAGCTCTTCATCTTGGCCAAAGAAATGTGCCCCTTATGGCTTAAACGATGGAAAATATGGTTTATCAAAAGCGTCTCATGTGGACATTAGATACACATTTTTTAGGAGTCCTCAAGTGGTAAGTAAGAGCACTTTTCTGTATAAAACGCTTGTGACAGGCATCACATTCATATGGTTTCTCACCAGTGTGAATCTTCACGTGGGTCACAAGATTACTTTGGACACTAAACCGCTTGTGACAAATGTCACACTCATATGGTCTCTCACCAGTGTGGGTCCTGACGTGAATATCAAGAACATCTTTCCGGCTAAAACGCTTATTACAAATGTCACATTCGTATGGTTTCTCACCAGTGTGGGTCCTGACGTGCGGAGCAAGATTACTTTGATTACTAAACCGCTTGTGACAAATGTCACATTCATATGGTCTCTCACCAGTGTGACTCCTAACGTGCTTAGCAAGATCATTTTTCCTTGTGAAACACCTTTGGCACTCATTACACTTGTACGACTCTTGTCCGCCGTAAACACGCCCTGTTGGCAATCGGTTCCTCTGCTTCCGCTGCACTTGGTCCTTGTGCAGCTTTGAACCGCTGTTGTCCTCGGCCGCCTCTGCCTCGCTAGCGGCTTCCTGGCCGCCATCCTCGGGGTGCTGCTCCAGGGCAACGTCGTCCTCGCCATTGCTTTCAGGGTGCAGCTCGAGATCATCGTCGTCCCGTAGTCCGCCTTCTCCTCCGTCTCGGATGGCGTAGCTCAGGCGGGTGCGGAGCGAGTAGCTCCTCGTCACCACAAGCTGGCCGTTCTCGCTGCTGCCTGAACTTTCCGGACCCTCTGCCACAGTCACTCTCTGGTGCTGTGTGATCTTCTCGTCCGCGGCCACTTGATACGCCCGATGCAGCGGGTCGGTGGGGCGCGGAGGGCGGTGTGCGGGCGTCGGTCCCCTCGGCATGCTGGAGTCAGCGCCTGCAACAGCACAAGAACATAACAAAAGAACGCTTGCGAGGAAACATAATATTGTCACCAATTACATTTAATTTTTTGGCAGTGACAAGACGGCAAAAATACATGTTACCGCCGCACCTTCTGGGCCATCGTCGTCCAGAATGAGCTCCTCGTGGAGTAAGGTCTTCCCGTCCTCAGCCTCCTGCTTCCCCTCGTGCAGCGGACACGGGGCGTTCGTAGGGCGGTCGGTGGGAGTTGTCTCTCTCGCTGTGCCGGAGTCAGCGGCTGCAACAGGAGATGGCACGTGTAAGTGAAAAGTCAACAGAATGCATTTCATCGGAGGAGCGTGGTGCCGTACAGAAGAGGGAGTGGAGAGCTGCAACAAGACAAGAAGAGAGTAGGTTAGACTGGCGAGAACGACCAAGCACGCAGTCTAGTGAATATCATTACTATATGTAGCTACGGACATCTTCAACACTGTTACATTCAAAGCACAAGTACAATTAAAAATGTTTTAATTCTGTACTATTTTTATATTACAGACAAACTAATATTTTATTGAACGCCCAAATCACATAATTTACAAAAAAATACGAATAACACTTTCAAGAACAAAGTTCGTCTCGATTAACAAGCGATTAAGAAGCAAAACAAAAATCAATGTCGAAAATAGATTGTTCTTCATATTTCTCGTTCGTAGCATCGTCGTGACTAATCTTCCAAAGAACCTTAATAGTTCTTCATCTTGTCAGAGAAATGTATATCTCATGGCATAAACGATACACAAAATGGCTTATCAAAAGCATGTCATGTGGACACTACATACACATTTTTTTTGGAGGTCCCGACGTGTCAAGCAATAGCACTTTTCTGGATAAACCGCTTGAGGAAAGATCACAATCATATCGTCATCTGACAGTGTGTGTCGTGTCGTGCCGTATACGATAACTTTGGTCACTAAATCGCTTGTACAAAACGTCACTTTCATTTGTGTTTCTCACCAGTGTGGGTCCTTACGTGCGTCACAAGATGACTTTGGACACTAAACCGCTTGTGACAAATGTCACATTCATATGGTCTCTCACCAGTGTGGGTCCTGACGTGC